AACACATACACCTTTACCAACATACGTGTACGAAAGGATAAAGTTACCAGTGAAATTGTTGTCAACACAGTTGAGTCTGATACTAAAATAGAATCTGGACCACCATTTCAAGAAGCACTGCCGATCATAGTCCTTGACAGTGAAACTGTTGATGTAGAAATCATTGGTATTGAGAAAGTTCAATCATATCTTGCCTGTACGAAATGCACCAAAAAAATTCAACATACAGATAATCGAAGATTTATTGAATGTTCACACTGTCATTTCAAGCAAAAGGAAGCAGCAGCAGCCAAGCACTGGTTTGCTCAGGTCTTAGTCGAAAACAAGAGTTCAACTGAAACCAACAGATTTAGTGTCACCCTCTTTGAAAGTTCCATAAAGCAGATTGTTCAAGCCAATAGTGAAATTCCAGAAGACAACAAGTTCACCAAAGAATTGATTGAAGATCTTCTGTTTGACACATCTGTTATTTCGATCACTTACAATAAACGGACTCATATTGTGGAGAACGTTATTTCAGCACAGTCAGTGCTCTAGTGACATTCACTGTGTTTGTGACATGAACACTTGAAATTTTTGTTGTGGTTTAGTTTGAACAAAAACTCTTAAATAAGTCTTAAAAGATTGGGTTTAAACTTCATAGTTACATGAACATTGATATTTTTATGGTTTAGTTTGAACAAAAACTCTTGAATAACTCTAAAAGATTGGGTTTAAACTTCATAGTTAAACATCACATATGTATCAAGGGATGGTTGAAAATTCACATTTATTGAAATAAAAACTTACTGTTATGTTAGAAGAGTTTGAATTATTGTTCTATCCTTTTTCTAATTTGAAATTAGGTTGGTACATCCCCCAAACTCTGGTCCAGCCGCCCACCCCCACCTGGATATATTACCTTGGTTGAAGTCTGCTCGAACCGTAAAACTATGATCAACAATGTCATAGATATTAATTGGACCTGGGTTTTCCTCCACATCATTTGCAAGCCTCAATAGCAATGGTACATAAACATGATAAGACATCATCTGTGTACACCACATGCAAACTTCATTATTACTTTCAATCTTTGTAGCTAGATTTTTCAAGCATGGTAAATAAAATATTTCTAAGTAGAACATTACTAACATATGGTTCCAAAATTTACCCTTCATTTGATTTATGGACTGTCGTGCTTGCACAAAGTTGTTGTGCGAACCAATTCTTAGTCTGTATATCTCAATTGACACACCCATATTGCATTCTCACTGTTTGGAATAATATAGTTTCGTTACAGTAAGTAATGTACTGTAGTCTGTGTACTTTCAGTATTGTCTTTGACAGTTTGTATTTGTAATTCTTTTAAAATTGCACAATGGCAAAGTCTCAATAATCCCAGCACAATGTGGCAATGGGCTGCTTTTTTATACCTGCACAATGGCAAGGTTCAATTTGAGAGCGTGGCCTTTCATGCTAATAGCGCCCTGATAAATAATCAGTGCGACGAGCACAATGGCTCCGTTTCAGTTGGAGTATTTTGAGAGCGTGGCCTTTCACGCTATTAGTGCCTGATAAATAATCAGTGCGAGCACAACGTCAACGGCTCCGTTCAGTTTGAGTATTTTGAGAGCGTGGCCTTTCACGCTAATAGCCCTGATAAATAATCAGTGCGAGTACAATGGCTCCAAAATCACAACAAATAACAGAGTATAAAATAAATTAAAAGCAGCTCCAAAATCACCACAAATAACAGAGTATAAAATAAATTAAAAGCAGTGAGCCAAACTTTTAAACTTACCTCGATCTACTTTTCTTTGTTAAAGACGACTCTCGAAAGCGGATTTTCAGCGATAATCTTTCCTTGTGCTTGGTTTATTAAAACGTAGACGAAAACAATCACATTACACATTATTTTCAATAGTATTAATGAGAATTTTGTTTGATATTTTTAATATATTTCATGTTATTTTCAAAATGTACTGTAGTTTTGAAGTTTTGCACACAATATAATCAATGCGAGCAAATAACTCCAGAGTATTTAACTTAAATTTAATATTTTGATAGCATGGCCTTTCGCGCTATATCATAAACGCCTGATGAATATAAATCAGTGCGAGCACAGCGGCTCGAAAATCACAACAAAATATAAACAATATAAAGTGAATTAAAACAGCAAAGCTTTACCTACCTCGATGAATTTTCTAAGGCGCTCGATTATGTAAATTTTCGGCGAACAATCAACATTTTCTTTGCATTTGCTCGACGAAAACCATGGAAGAAAACGTCCACACGATTCAAAATTTATAATTATGCTTATTGTTATTATGCTCGTCCCACGTGATCTGCCGCAAGTTTCACCACCAACGGACACAAATTTTAAGCTATATGATAGTTGCATGCCATATATGGCATGCAACAAAAATTCAAAAAAAACTTACGCATCATCAAAATACATCGCCGGCATCCCTGTCATCCATTGACTAACCTCTTCACTCATATTCATATTCATTTTTACAATGATACAATCCTTCCCAATTTTTCTCAAACCAAAACAACAATTCCAAGGCTTTTTTCGGTCCAAACAATACATAACAAAAAAGTAGTAAAACCATGGCGATCACCACCCGTTGCCAAACATTGACCATCTGGAATAATAACATGAACATTCTATTACCAAATTTGGATAATAACGTCGTAAAAGTAAAAAATACCCACACCCAAACATTGACCTTGTATAACATTCTATTACCAAATTTGGATAATAACGCTGTAGAAACAAAAAATACACAATAAACATTCCATACCCCTATATGGAATATTACGACGCCTGCTGTCGAAAATATCATAGTATATTAAAGATTTACAACACACTAGACATTATTTACGCCACTACCGTCAAGATGACCACAGCAGCATCGCCAGAGTTTATGCAGTTTGTAAATTACATGCAATGTTCGTTATCCGACACAAATTCAACCATTCTTACGAATTTATACGTAAATTTCAACAGCTATCAACCACCCGTTCGTTGCGGTAGTTTTGCAGAAAAATTTATCTTCTGGAAACAGCTGTATGATCAATATGCACAAGAACAGGAAAAAATCGCAAACGCTAACCTTTTCGCGTCCCAAATTCAACCGTCTGACCCACGTCTAAAAGCCATCAAAACTGAACTGCCCGAAGATCTAACAAGTTTGTGTGTCAAAAGCGAAGACACTCAGCTGTTTCAGACTTTTGATTTAAAAAATGAAACCCCTACAACGCCACAATCACAACACAATTCCTCGGACGCCTGCAACACCGAAATTAAAAGTGAGTAAACTAAAAGCGAGAAAATTACCATGGACAGCGAAATAACCACGGCGGACGCTCAAACTATTATAGAAATACTAAACGAATCACCGCCACAAACATCAGATGAAGAACAAGAAAAACCACCTACCCCAAACTACAAAAGATCCCCAAGTCGTGGAAAGAACATAGACCAACTAAAGGCAATTCACGACGAAGCCGAAGGAACAAAAACGAAAGAGAAACCCGGTAAACCAACACCCCCACCACGAAAGCGAAAGAGACCCTCCCCCCCTGATAGCTCCGGTCCCGGAAGGCCAACCAAGGACACTGCACTCGTACGCGACGCGAAAATTGCCGATAGCGATTCCGACGACACGCTGGCTATTCGTGAAGTTGCACTTTTTTCCGCAAACGGGCAGATACGAAAAAGAACAAGACTGCTGACAAAACACGATAAGGACATTAAGTGTTTTGCAATTAAACACTTTCTACCCTTGGAGTATATCGCCGAACAGAAGACCATAGCTTTTGGGAAAATAAAAAAACAGAGACAAAAACTAAAAACACTAAATTACATGGAGCAGAACGTACTTGCCAACCTTGAGGAACTACAAAACTTTTAGAATAATGTAATAATAGACAAATAATGTAAATTTAATAAATATTTTTAAATAAATAAGTGAAAAAAACCCAATTTTTAACCGCCTCCGTCAATGATTAACCATTTTTCACAACGCAACCCGCACGCCACCCGCACGCCGCCCGAAAAACGGGCACCGGAAGTGCGTCATAAGTCACGTGACACCGGCCATAAAATCACCGCCAAATTCAAATCTCCTCACTTCGGTCGAGCACGGCTTTGGGGACACATCACATGCCGTCCTTTAATGTTGCGCAACAGCATTATTGCGACACAATCGTCCTTTTTGGGACGTCATGGGGAGCCCAAAACTCCCCCCGTCCGGGGAAACACTTTTTCACTTCTTTTTGCTGACCGTGCACTTTTTCGTAATACTATTTTATAATAAATAAAAAAATTCCCACACCCCCACTTTTTTATCGAGTACTTTTGTCCATACACTACTCACATCTTTGCAGAAAATGCACCAGTAGATGAGTACAATATTGACCACCTACAACAAATTCAATCACCACAGTACGCTTTAGAAGCTTTAGATCAATTCCCACCTCATGTTAGAAAACAGGATATCGATAGAGTGCTGTCTAAAGGAAGATCCGAAACTGGAGGGCTTGACACTAAAATCCTGATCAAAGAAAATGCAAGAGTTATGCTCACAACCAACGTAGATATTAGCGATCGGCTAATTAATGGGCAGTTAGGTACAGTAATAAAAGTTTCTGTTGACAATGTTAGTAATAAACCCTCCACAATTTTTGTTAAATTTGATGACAGTAACGCTGGAATATCTGCTATACGAAATTCGTCCAGTAGTTTTGCAAGAGAAAACAATCTTGTTCCTATCAAACCTGTATTGGCGAGAATTAAAGTCAGACCAGGAAAACCATCATCTCCTGAAATGCAAAGATTACAATTTCCTGTAACTCTTGCATGGGCATGCACTGTTCATAAAGTACAAGGATGAACTCTAGATAACATTGTCGTCAGTTTTGATTTAAAGAAGCAAAGGTATTTTAACTATGGTCAGGTATATGTAGCACTTAGTCGAGCAACGTCTTTAAATGGCCTGCATATTTTAGGAACACTTGAAAATAAACATATTCGAGCTAATCCTAAAGTCCAGGAAGAATACGAGAGATTGTGTGAAACTTTGAGTCTCCACCCGCATATTACAACAGATTTATGTAACATAGAAACTGTCTCAATTTGTCTTTTAAATATTAGATCATTTAAAAAACACAGTCTTGACCTAAGTAATGACCCAATCTTGTCCAAATGTGATGTGTTTGCCCTTACAGAAACTCAACTTTTAACCAGTGTACCAAATGATGATATTAACTCAATCCTCAACGATTTTTCTATACACAGACAAGATCATAATTCTGACAAGTTCTTAAGTCTAGCTGTTTACTACAAAGACACTATTACACTGTGTGATACAGAATATTTCACTTCAATAAATGGTTTACGATTTTTACTTAATAACTCCGGTGGGAATACCTTATCCTGTCTACTGCTTTATCGTAAGCACGGAGGTAACATTCAGCAATTCATAGCTTGCCTTGATTACATAATAACTAGCTTGGATATTGACGTTATATTTGGAGATTTCAATATTGATTACTTTAATGAAAAGAACATTTCTTCATTGAAAGTACTCGCCGAGTCTTTAAATTATGTGCAACGTGTAAGTAAACCAACATTTGTTTCATCCGGAAGTCTTCTCGATCATGTTTACGTAAAACAGTCAATAAGCAATAAAATAGAAGCAAACGTTGTAAGTGTGTATTATTCAGATCATGAGGCTTTACTGTCATTCCAATTGAAGTGTTCCTCAAATATTGATTCAATACATTACCTCAGGCTGACCAATTCATTTCATCAAGTTCCTCAAGATATTCATACACTTCCTGTGAAAGAGCCAATTCCAAGTATTTGATCATTTCTGGTCACTTCCTTTCTATTTATGATTGGTTAGTTGCACAAACAACAAAGGTGATTGGTGCATTCAAACTATTCAACAGGAAGTTTACAATTATACTAGGAAGTGTATGAATATTTCGAGGAAGTTGATCGAATGAATTGGTCAGCCCGAGGTAATGTATTGAATCAATATTTGAGGAACACTTCAATTGGAACGACAGTAAGGTAACTGTAAGATTTTGACAAGTAGTTTCATTAAAAATTTTGACATGTAGTATTACGCCAGTAGTTTCAATAACGGTTCGGTATATAACCCATTAAACTCGCACTATTTAATTGTAGCAGAAAAACTAATCGAATATTAAAAAATCGCTGAAATGATTAAATGAAAATCCAATCTAGGAGAGACTGGGATGGGGGATTCTGGTACATCCCCAAAGAGACTGACGTGAGGAGTCTCCTGCAGTTGCATCCATGCAAACAAGGTATGTTCAATCATTTTTAAATTGAAGCTAGATGCAACATATACATTGACTATACTTAGTATAGTACACTATGCAGCTCAAATGCGCTGTAAGCTCAAATACATCACTCAAAATGTTTTCTTTTAGGACTGAAAGTTTGAAATGAGACAGTTCGGGGAATTATCACCAATTATGTTAAGGTATGTCCCAAAGTAGTTTTGATTTATACTTAGTCTTCCTATGATTATGTATAATGAGTAAAAGGATTTATATTCACTCCTTTAAGAGACAATACGGCCCACTTACTCTGTCTAATGGCAGACGATTTTACCCGTCAAGGGGAGCACACTGTGCGCAAACAAACGATCTTATGTATACGCTGTCTCTATATCGATGAGCTTATTGTAGCTCTGGGGCAAATCCAATTAAATATGTTTATATATTGACACACTGTCAAGTTTTTTTATATTCAACTAAGACCTGGAACCTTATTTTTCTTATATACTGTAATTCTTCATTTCTTTATTTTGTAGAAAAATGTTCAACACATCACTTTATACAACGAAATATGTTCGACTATTAATTGAAATGATGAATGATGATATGTGTACACGAACTTCATTGTGGTGTCTCCACTATTCTGATCACGGGCCGGAATTGACGCTATGAATTGTTCGTGAATTTGTATGCCAGTCAATTAATATTGCTATTAAAGTGGATTTGTTTGCGATTTCACAAGTTCCTTGAAATACGACTGTTAATTATTCGAGGACAAGACTAACGTATATTGATTATCCTTCATTATTGGTACCCTTACAACGAACATTGCCATCTCTACTGGACCGAGTACTGGTAAATCAATGAAATTGAACTATCGACGCTTCATAAAAAATAAACATTATAAAAGCTTACAGAAATGGTTTCCATGCATTAAAGAACTTGCCAAATTTGCTTTGTTCAGATGCAAGATTTGTTCCGTGATTATATAATCATAATTCATACTCACATTGAATATTTAAACTTCAAATAGTCCTAGTGATTGTTTCAGAATATTGTTCTAATGCGATGTATACTGTAGAAAAATCTGTAATTCTTTTATTGCATAATGATACTTAGAGGCGTATCTGCAAGTATTGCTAACTGAACTGTCAGCTCTTTCTGTACTATTTCTCCTCAATAAAGTCTCACTCTAAACTGTATTCGATTCGACTATATCTGTAAACTGTACTAGGTAGCAGCAGCAGCAAAACTTGATGTTAGCGCTACTGTACTAACTTACTGGTAATGGCTACCTTTTACAGTATATTACAGTCAAAATACAAGAACCTTCCCACTTCCGCTATCTGTGGTAATTTTCTGTAAACTGTTCTGTTTTCCTGTACCGGTTACCAAATTATGAGCAACCATAGTGACAAAATTTAGTTTTCACTTGTATAACCCCAGCGAGTTAACGCTCTATAGAACGTCTTGTTGTTAATTAAGTAGGCCAGTGGCAAAGCCAGCCTGGGAATTTGGTCATACAATGCAAATTTTAAATTATTCATTTTTAGTAACTTCACAGTATTGTGATGGTGGGGAAAATTCAAACGAAACAGTCAGTCAGTCAGTCAGTCATACAGTAAACTTTCCGGGGGCATGTACGATTTATGTTTGTAGTGATTTATTGTGCTTAGTCAGTACTTTGAAGGTTATTTAGGTAATTTCAGTTAACTTATTTACATATTCTGTTATCCTTTTACCAAGTTCACAAAAATTTAGAGCAATCGCTTTCGTTATTGTAATTCTTTGTAAATTTTAGAACATTCGCTTCTCATGTTGTGTAAAGGATCTTTACCCCGGAACACCCAATTTTTCTTTAGTAGCGCAAATGCGCATGCGCTATCAAGCCGTAGATCACGATGGCGTGACGATATGCTAGGAAGGTGTGACAGTGTTGTTTTCAGATGTATAAACATTTCAGATGTGAATATTGAGTAAATCTTTGAAAATCTACGCAATATATTAATTGATCTTATGCATTACGGCCATTCAATTAATAAGTGTCGATAATATTTAGGCGGTATATTCATACAGAGCTAGGAAGGAGCTAGACCGCCTAGACAGTGCATTTAAGACTCGAGTGTATAAACATTTCAGACGTAAATATTGAGCCGAAAATCTTTGAGATTCTAGGCATTCAATTGAGTGCTGATATTATTTTCACGGTATACTCATTATACAGGGGAACAGTATGTACGAAGAAGCGAGACAGTGTTGTTTTTTAAATATATAAACATTTCAGACATGAATATTGAGAAAATCTTTGAGATTCTACGCAATAATATGATGTATAAATTGATGAATATGGTTACCAGCGTTCAATTAAGTGCCCATCGATAGACGATATTATTTAGACCGTGTATTCATTATACATTGTTATTTGACTGTATAAGGTGCCACATCACAGAATAGTACACTCAGGCAAAGAGCGAAAAATTGCATCAGATCAATAAAGCATCAACAACTATTAAACAGAAGCGGGCGTACAGAATCCGTGGGTCATTTTGGACAACCATTTTCCGTGAAAATGGAAAATGGATTTTAAAATATTTTATTAGAAAACCGTTTTCCTTGAAAATGGAAAACGGATTTTAAAACATTTTACTATTAGAAAACCGTTTTCCGTGAAAATGGAAAACGGATTTTAAAACATTTTACTATTAGAAAACCGTTTTCCGTGAAAATGGAAAACGGATTTTAAAACATTTTTAACGTTTTTTTCCGAACCGTTTTCTATAATTCGGAGATGTGCGTGCAGTTAAGTGGATTGTTGATGATATAATTTTGAATGGTCGGTGCCACTCTAAAGAAGTTCAACTGCCTTAAAATACAAGCAAGAGTTTTGAACGAAGCCGAAGGGCATTTATCTCGAATTTCTTTCACACCGCAGCTATTTGAAATTTGATTGTTGTTCATGGCATTTTTGTCTTTCAAGAAATACGAATGTTGATTATGTGCTACTTGATTGCGTTTTAAGATAATCTTGCGTCGAATACCAATTATGCTTTAAATTTATAATTGATTAATTTTACACTTGACTACAATCCATCAAATATAATAAAGATGGCGTTCATCGAAAGCCTTGTCGACGTAGAATTCGTAAAGGATTTAGTATGTAGTCAAGGCAAAACACATGAGGAAGTTTCAAACATTTTAAAGGAGATGTTTCCTGAAACAACTCGCGGGCTAGGCGAGAAGAGTGTGTACCGCTTTTGTAAGGAACACGGATTAAGAAGGACCAAATCTGACGCAGAACTCGATGTTACTGTGAGAAATGCTGTGTCTATGGTAAGCGTATATTTATTCTTTTAAATCCGGAGATAGTTCGAGTAAGTGGGTTGAATTATACAGGGCTTAGGAGGGAGGTAGTGCAGCTAGAATGGTAGGGGGGTAGTGCAGCTAGAATGGTAGGGGGGTAGTGCGGCTAGAATGGTGGGAGGGGGTAGTGCAGCTACAATGGTGGGAGGGGGTAGTGCAGCTACAATGGTGGGGAGTGTAGATATTTAAAATTGAAGAATGTATATTATACCCAACCTACAGGCGTAGGGACTCCCCGCATTGAAGTATATACACACATTAAAGTAAAGGACCAACTTTGTATAACTCCTTTCAATCTCCAAAAGCCTTGTCCGGGGGTGGGGTGAACGGAGATTGTGTAGAAAAAGTTTGTTGGTAAATTGATTGGAAATGGTCGGTAAATTGATTAATGAATAAAATTGAGTTGGCTGGTAAACGTAGAGGAGCAGCCCACCAGTTGAAAGGGTCCTTGTCTACGACGTTCTCTTCTGATTTCCATGAATATTTTCACTGATGTGTATGTATGCTATTTCAGGTTGGTCCAGTATATGGAAGGAAAATGCTGAAGGGATTTTTGGACAGTAGAGCTAAAATAGTAGTGGCATCCGAAAAACGAATTGGTTCTTCTCTTGCCAGAGTCAAACCAGATAACCATAGAAGGAGGCAACAGAACATTGCCAGACAGATAAATCCTGCTCCATATGTTGCTACGCATTTTGGTCACAAATTACACATGACCAAAACGAGAAGCTTGTCAGATATGGTGCTACTCATGTTGGCGCAATTGATGGTTTTTCTCGTTTTGTAACAGCTTTTACTACAATGCCCATTAAGAACAACTTGCTGATATATGATAATATTTACAGGTAAGTATATATCAGTGTCGTGTAAGTGTAATATTACCCATGGAAAAACACAACCGAATGATTTTTTCTATTTAATTTTTTACACTTTTGTAGGAAGACTGTTCTTGACTTCGGAATTTTGATCAAGTCAGGACTGATCATGGAAAGGAATTTGTCTTGATACAGTTTGTGCAAGAAACTTTAGCTCATCTGAGAAGAAATGTTGATATTGATCCTCATCGACAAACCGAATCCAAGCATGTAAGGAACAATGTTTCAAATTAAATATACAATGTTTAGAGTGCTCAATTCCACGTTCTTTGTCGAGCGAATTAATATTAAATTCTTAATTTGAAGGGACACAGTCACCAATCGGCCTTTCTCACGCCGCCATTTTTGGATGGCTTTTAAACCGAAGTCTTCGATTTAAGTCCCACATAACAGCGACTTTTTATAATTTTTTGGACGAATGATGGTCAATTTGCTTTGTAAATGGTTAAATTATGTTGAAAAATTGCTTTCCACATTCTTTTAATTATCTGCATTAGTTTAATAACGAGAATTAGATGCCACCCAAAAAAGGTAAAAATGGCGGATATTCACGTGAGAGGCTAATTGAGACTAATTGAGCGATGTTATTTAGTCCGATATAAAATTCCAGAACTTTTTCAAGTCAGTGATTTGCTCATATCATGCTAAAATAACATCGCTCAAACGGTGACTGTGTGTCTTTAAATAGAGTGATAACTCT